CGTGTTAGTCTGGATCTGTAAAAGCAGCAAAGAGTCCTGTGGCACCTTATAGACTAACAGACGTATAGGAGCATGAGCTTTCGTGGGTGAATACCCACTTCTTCGGATCCGAAGAAGTGGATATTCACCTACGAAAGCTCATGCTCCTATACGTCTGTTAGTCTATAAGGTGCCACAGGACTCTTTGCTGCATGTATAAAAGATGTAAGTGAACATGGTCCCAAACTGAAGAAGCATTGGACCAGAAATGGAAGAACAGGACTGAAGGACCAGACCAAGGGATCAGAGAAGGTGATGTTTATCACAGAAAGCGGAAGAACTTCCTGGTGCCACAGAATGTGGCCCATTTACCAATTCGGCTTTGTCTGTTATTTGTCTGGCATAAATGTAAGTGACAATAATTCTGTCTCAAATAGTATACAGAAAGGAGAAATTTGTCTAAATGGGTGTGGACTTGTGACTCAGTTTCCATACTTTTACCCTGCCAGTCCCTTTTTCACCTCTCTGGAAACTACCACCATTGCTGGAGTGGCAGCTGCTGAATAATTTGCAAAGCTTTTACCGCTGTGTGAGCTGCTTCCTTGTTTACTTTCAGCTAATGGATGTCTGTCCTTTTAATATTATGACTTGAGTGCTCACAAAAGGTACTGGATTTTCAGCACTGGTGAGCGAGGTGGCATTTTATTGCTTTTTGCTTATAGTAGGATATATAGGATCAATGTGACTCACTAAGGACAGTTTTAAAATATTTATATACTGTGCACACAAATATCACATATAAGAACTCCTTTAGAGGGGAATGTTTGTCAAGGGATTGCTAACAGGATGTAGAACATTTCACCTCTAGGATATTGGTAAAAATTCATCCCAGGCTGATGATAATCAAATAGTCATTGCCCACTGAGGGCCATTCAGTGGCCTACCTAAAATGAGTTATTGATCTCTACTGAGTGCCTTTCAGTCAAGCACCAACATCACAGAACCCACCACAACTAACACCCATGATGGTAGCATCAGCTGGAATGCCAAGGAGACTGGAAATTGAGTAACCTCACTCCTCGAGGCAGCATCTTAAATCGCATTGGCAGAGCCGCGCTAGGAAACTTACAAACTCCGCTCTCTATATTGTACTTTTTTTTTGTAGACACATGACTTATTCTGCTCGTCAAGCTCAGGGAATTCCTTTGGCATTCAGCATGTACCATGTTTTTAGGCAAATAGTCTTTCAATGTATAAAATATGAACTCTGCATCCCTCATTTTGTTTCCTGTTTTACTACTTACCTTTATTTCTATCTCCTGAAGCATGTAAAGTTAAAAACAAATAAAGTCATGAATTCAGTGCATGAATGGAGGACATAAAGAATACAAAGAGACCAATGTGTGGGTAATGTCAGAAATCCAAGACACATGAGAAAGCTATAGGAAAAATCATATTAATCACATTTATGCAGCCTCACAAAAATCTGCTCACCCAGGACGACTAGTTTTATTTTCCAATACAATCATCATAGTAAAGGGCAAGCTATTACATTTGTGCCTGAGCTGGTAAATTTTTATGACAATTTTGTAGGGCTGCATGTATGGTCTAAGAATCACTTCAATTGGAAACACTTACATGTCATTACGCTATTATGGTGTGAAGAAATCCATTGTATTACTGAAATACAATGTTCATCACATCTGAAATATGCTTCCTATTCCAAGCAATAGAAGATTCTGAAAATGCCAGAATCATCAAAAAATAAAATATTTGTTTTTTTTAAATCAAGAGCCTATCAAGATCACCAAAATACATTTACATTTCAATGTACAGTGTGCGAACAACATCACACAAGAACCTTTCCATGAGGGGGCAATTAAGAAATTACAGTATCAGCATAACAGGCACTGGCTACAAATACTTTACCATTTCCTCTCGCTATAAAAATAATTTCACCTCTCAGATTCCTAAGGCATTATCATCTTAGCTGTCCTGTGCAACTTCATTCCATGTGTGACAATACCTACCATGATCCCTGAAATACTTGCAAACTAACGATCAAAAGGAATACCCAAGTACAGTTAAGTAGCTGAGTAATAAAGAAAATGTAATGAAATTCCATTATGACTATTCCAAATGCTCACAGTAATTTAATACGCTTTAGGTCTTAGAATTCAATATTATAAATACATCACCTGATCCTACTGATGAGACAAAGTCACCCAATGAAACGGTCTTTGAAAAGTCAACAGAGTGTAAAAAATGTCAAAATGTCATAATGCAATTCACCTTCCACATTTCCAAAGATTCACAACTTTAGGAAGTTTAAGAGTAAAACACAAAAAGGTCAAATATGAATAGTAATGACTGTGGAGACCACAAAGCACCTAATCACAAACTCATTCTCCTCAACTAGTTCAACAGATCAATTAAAATCAATTCCCTGTACTTCACTGAAAGAAACCAATAGTAGCAAATGAAGAGACTCTTCCCTGGAGTGAAAACAGGAAGTGGTAGAATGAGAAATATACAGAAGGCCATCAAACTTGAAGAAGCAGACTTAAACCCCACCTGTTCCATACTAAAAACAGACCAAGCTGTGGGTCGTGGTTAAAACTTGATAACGCCCAAGGACTTGTCTATACAAACACTTAGTTTTCAGCAAACAATGGGGCAAATCTACCTTGCACGAAATGTCTATGTGTACCCTGCTACCACACACTAAAAGTTCCCAAGTGTGCTCTGATCTACCCCATTTTGAAACGGGAGAAGCACACTAGGGAACTAGTAGTGCACGGCAGTAGACTCCATACCGACATTTAATGGATGGCAGGCTTTTGTGCAGTAGATTGACACCCATCTTTCTGTGAACTAAGTGTTTGTATAGACAAGTCCTAATACAGTTAACATGGTGTCAAGTATCAGAGGGGTAGCCGTGTTAGTCTGAATCTGTAAAAAGCAATAGAGGGTCCTGTGGCACCTTTGAGACTAACAGAAGTATAGGGAGCATAAGCTGTCGTGGGTAAGAACCTCACTTCTTGCATCTGAAGAAGTGAGGTTCTTACCCACGAAAGCTTATGCTCCCTATACTTCTGTTAGTCTCAAAGGTGCCACAGGACCCTCTATTGCTTTTTACAGTTAACATGGTTATGTCCTGTCTGTGCACAAAACTGAGCAATGTTATAACTGTTCCTAATTTGTGCAACAGCTTTGAATTTTGCCAGGCTGCAACATGGTTTCATAGCATGTACAACACAAGAGCAAAGAATGTTTTATTCATGTTGGGAGACTACCATTTTGTGGCCTAGTTCCCCATTCTCAACTTGGCAGTCTCTAAAGTGTTGAGAAAAGTTATGAACTTATCCATAAAAATGTATATCATGCTAGCTATAACCATGGTAAGCACCATTTTACTTTCCAGCCATGCTATTGTCAGCATGGTTTTCCTATCCAATAATTCACATGGACATGGACAGCGCTAGCCAAAACAATGGTATAGACAGACCCTTAAATAGTTTATATGATAATTTAACATGATTTGTAATTGTGTTAGAAACGGACCATTTATTACAAAAGTGTAGGATTGTGAGTGTTTGAAGATAGACTTTTATCAGTATTTGAAACTATCTATGAAGAAAGGATTGTAGATAAGGTAAAGGTAGATCAAGATAAAGAGTCAAAAGTTCTGTCAACGATGGCCAGGAAATGGCTATATTAAAACAGGGTTTTTGCTCAAATCTGAAAAAATGGTAATTTTCAACACTATTTTGAAAATTTGCTTTGAAAAGGAAAAGGTGTATTTGGAAGTAATGTGCTTCATCCATAAGGAACTCTTGTCAAGGAGTTCTGCTTTTTGCATCTGCCTGATGTGAACCTGCCTGCAGGATCAGTTAAGATACTGAGAGTATGCAGCACTATCCTACTACACAAGTCAATGGCAGAAATTAAAGAAATTGGATATTTAATAGATCACAGAAACTACGGAATACATAAAAATCAAGGAATCATGACACATTCACATTTATAAAGCAACCTTGGATGCAACTACTTTTAGAACTAAAATTCTTCTTTTCTTTGGTAGGCTTGGAACCTACTAACTTGTACAGAGAATGTAAGTTTTTAGTTAGGAATTTCACATGCATGTTATAACTACAATACCTTTTCCCTTTGTACTGAGATCTCAGCATTGCAGCCCACTACCTTAGTGCCTGTAATCTATGCTAACTGTAGTAAAACGTCATTACACTTGTCATTCTGGATGCAATTAGTTTTACGACAGTCCCAGTCAAGCTGCTATAGAACATAATCAGGCATCCATATCATATCATATATCAGAGAAACCGTATGTGCTGCTACTAAAGCAGAAATCACTTTCGTTTGCTTGAAATTTGCCAACTTACTAGGACTCAAAAAACATAAGTGACCAGATATCATTAAAATATATATATTAGGAATGTTTTTATCTGGCTGCTAGTTGAATTTAAAAATTTGAGTACATTAAAATTTTTCTAACCTGTACTTGAACCTGTGGCTCTGACATCCACACTGCAGCACACAGCCCCAACTCAAATCAACCAAATCCCTGACTCCCTAGCGCCCTCCTGAAATGTGACTGTTCTAACCCTTCGATCGCAGTGCACTGTGGGCAAACTTCACTGTCCAACCTGCACATTATAGGAAGTTTGAACAGCTCGCTGTCGTCAGATGTTCGGCTGCATGTGTGTGTTCTTTGTGCGTGCCGCACTGGCTTTGGCCAGACAGCCTGTATGGCAGGCTCCGATTAAACTGCTCAGTATTACCCCTTTGACGTAGTTAGATGCCACTCTCGGACGTGGCTAACCACCATCCCCATTACCTTGTACCTAATGGTTTGATTAAAACATTTTTATTCATTATGCTGCCATCCTGACCTGATTTTTAGGATGGGTCATTGTGTTTTTTTGTTATCTTTGGGGAATGTGCTGGTACTAAGGTGTTTTGGTACCACCTTTTTTGAACTTGAATATATATTTTTATGCCCAGCACTACACCTCTACCCCGATATAACGCTGTCCTCGGGAGCCAAAAAAATCTTACAGTGTTATAGGTGAAACCGCGTTATATCGAACTTGCTTTGATCCGCAGGAGCGCGCAGCCCCGTCCTCCCCCTCAGAGCGCTGCTTTACTGCGTTATATCCGAATTCGTGTTATATCGGGTTGCGTTATATCGGGGTAGAGGTGTACTTAGGAATGTGTGTTTCTGCAATATTAGCCCTGTTTTTGCCAAATTTTGTGAGCCTCTTGCTCACAACTTAACTTTGCTTTATATTAGCAAGTTTGACCATTACTTTAGTTTAGGCCTCAGGCCTCATACTAGGCCTCTGATAAAAGGGCTTATGTCTTAGGCTCTCTTCCTACTACACCCACTAACACATCCTGCTGAGCAGTCATTTTTGTCTGTACACTACCAGCTGTCAGAGCTGACAACATGGAGGCAGCGCCTTTTGGAGAACTTCTCTTACTTGCGCTTTCATTCCTGCATCAGGAAACGGGCAGAGCTTCCATCAGACACAGGTGGGCATTTGGTGGCATCTTCTGACCCACCAAAGGCACCTGACAGAGCTTATGATGGAGCAGAGAGAGGAGGAAGAGGATGGTGATGAACTGGGTGATGTTGCTCATGATACTGGGTACAACCGCTGATGCCCAGTGTGTAGACCAGCACTTCTGGAATGGGGCCACAAGCACAGACTGGAAGGACCTACGGACCTGGCATGAGGGCAGGAATGGGTCCAGAACTTTTGCATGACAAACATTACATTTCTGGAGCTTTGTGAGCAGCTTGCCCTGACCCACCAGCATAAAGACCCATACATAAAGGCAGCTATCAGGGTGCAAAAGCAAGTTGCTATAGCCATCTGGAAGCTGGCTACCCCAGACTGCTATCAGTCTGTTGCCAGTCACTTTTGTGTTGGAAAGCTGACTGTGAGTAAAGTGGTGGCAGAGGTTTCTGAGGCAATCAGGCATGTGGTTTACCCCAAGATGGCAGGCATAAAAGATATTACTGAAGTAATTGCTAACTTTGAGAGAATGAGGTTTCCAGATTGCACTGGGGCTACTGATGGGGCTCATGTGTGCCAATTTTGCCTTCCTTCAGGAGCACATGATTACATAAAGCACAAATGGTACTTACTGTTATGCAGGCCCTCATGGATCATAGAGAGCAATTTATTAATGTCAAAATGGGTTGCACTGGGAAAGTTCATGATGACAGGGTTTTTCACTGATCAGGAGTCTATATTCATGGCCTGGCTGGAACACTATTCCCACCAAATGA